TTTCTTATAGTATAAAGAATCTCTTAATACTATTTTCTGCTAAATCCTACATACTCTTTAATTCAGTGAAAATAATTATGCTGTTTGACACAAAAATATCGGAATTACTAATTAGTTGCGTTCTCAGAAACAAAACTCAAAAGTTGGAATGGCTGATCAGAAGTAATGAAATAGAATTCAAACGAATAGCGAGATTCCCCGTTTGAGCGGATAATAAATCTCGGCGTAAGAGAAAAGCATTCGCGAGGGTCGTGTCATCGAAATACGTGGCACGCGACTGACCATAGGGTGAATCTGTGCTCGGAGACGTCCGTGGAAAACCTTAAGAAGGGAGGATCGTAAAGGATGACCAGGGTCGTCACCTGATAAATATCTTTATGACCAACGCCGTTCGGCTCCCTTCCGCGAAAAGTGCACCGCAGTCGTGGCTCGAGGTGCGAGCTACCGTATAAAAAGCGGATACAGGAGGGGCGCCCGCGGAGAAGAACGGAATCGGGTAATTATGAGGATTAATCTTAAGTCCCGTAAAGTCCACCACTTGTGGAATCTGTTCCCCTTTCGTTACACCGATTCGGCCCTTACCGAGCTTGTTGCGAGAACGATGAAAAATCTCTTCGGCTCGTTCTACCTTTTGTCTCGAGGATTACAACAAGTAAACAGTATTACATTTAATGAATAGATCTGTAGAGAATTCAATAGAATGCATAAATCTTACTCAATGAACCATTCGAATGTATTATAGTATCACAAGCAACACGTTAAAAGTATTTTGTGAAATACTAGAGATCTACGATACGGCATAGCAGATTTTTGTGTGTTAAAAGAATCACTCGCTAATGCTATTCAAACCACAACCTCGGTAAAATGCGGAAGGTCGTAACGAGATTGTCAGATTGGGATTCCGGCGCTCGTCTTATGGAAATTTTCTTGGGCGATAATTTTTTCCTGCCCCTCGTTTCCTCGATGGGCGCACGGTCGCACGGCGTACGTACGCACATATGTAGAACGTCGAAGCTACAGGTGTCAGCGAGAGCAGTATTTTTCAGCGAACGCTCTGGCCGAGGGTGTAGTAGGTGATAGAGGAAACGGGATAGGGCGAAAGAGACGAGCCCAGCTGACAGAGAGAGAGAGAGAGAGAGAGAGAGAGTGAGAGAGAGTATGGTAGCGCGGGATGAAAGAGCGAACCGGTGAACCGAGGAGAAAGACAGAAGAATGGAAAGAGAACAGAATATCGTTTCACCGAGTGCCGGCACGCACGTTGAATCTGCTAAACGTTCTTGCTCGTGCGTGAAATGCCTCGATATCACTGTTTTATTTCGGCTCGTTCGTTCCGCCGCTACTCTCTCGCTTTTGCAATCCTATCCTTTTTACCCTTCGCTCGGCGGTGGCCCGTTCGCGAGCCGGTCGCACGCTCGCACAACCCTTCCTCCCTTTCCTCGTTCTCGTTCTCGTGCTCGTTCGTGCGGATTTGATGACCCTTCCTGTTCGATTTCATGACCGTTTAATCGCTCACGATTAATTAAAACCCGGCGATCTCGCACGGCTCGTTGGTCCTCCCTGTATCGTACGTTCGTTCAGTTCATCGAAACAAACTGATGGACCAGATATCTCGAAAATGATTCGAGTACGATAAAACGAACGTCTTCTGCTCGAACGTCCATCTTCTACTATTCTTTCTCAAATTGCGTCGATACAATCGGAAGGAGGCCAGTCAATTCTTTAGCGTCTCGGCATCGCGACGGCTCAGTCCCTCGATAAATCGATAAATCGCGAAGTGGCCCGTTAGGCCAGTTTAATTAATAATTATCGGCTGGAAGAGGAGCACCTTGCACAATGGCGATACTTCCTTCTGGCGTAATCCTTGGAAGATTAACGAGCCTGTGCCAGGAGGTGCTTCTGCCTCTCTCTTTCTCCTCCCGATGGCACCTCGGCGATCTTTCTCGCTCCTCCGTCTCGTCCATTTTCTCCACCCGTTCTCCTCGGTCCGGGGGTCCCTGTCTCTCTTACAGCCGCAAGACGCCATAGCGCGCCTTGCGGTGGCTGCGGCAAGAACCCTCGCCGTACCCGCATTAACGCAATTATGAATTTGTCGCGTTGGGATCTGACAATACAAGATGTCGCTACCACTCCCCCGCCCCGCGCCACCCTTCTAGCCGCGTCCCCCAACACCGAACGCAACCGCCTGCCTCGCATTTATACTAAAACCAATCCTGGCTTCCACGGCCACGATAATTCTCTCCATGCTGTGACCAACAGTTTGTATGATTCGTTCAATAAAAAATACAAATATTAATAGTGTACGTGATGAATTCGTTAATTTATTTATTCTTTCATCTTGCGACAATCATATTTCGTACTCGTTGCAATTAATTACGCGACTCGCTGCAACACGTAAACTGAATGTTCATCTATAATTATAACAATAAATGAATTTATGAATAAATAATTTATTCCAGTTGATCATCTGTTTGTTTTAATAATTCACGAGCTCGAGCCAATGAAACGAGACTTACACAGCTGTCCAAAGTTCGCGACGTTGTTTCGCAACGAATTGATTATCGTCCATCAAGCGCGGCCCGGCGTCTCACGGTTAATTCGCGGCAACGACGGTGTACACGGAAGCCTTTCAGGGTTTTCACCTTCGAATCGATAACGGGTGCACATCGCGTGCTCGCTTGTTAACCGCGTTTCGCGGCGAGGAAAGTGGGCGCAGTTTCGAGCCGGGGCGAGTTAGTTTCGAAGGGACCCAACGATAACGGGCAGCAATGGTGCCTTACAATAGGTAGAACGACGTAGGATCGTTGCGGCGAGCCGCAGGCGACTACTGCCACCGGTTTCTCGCGACTTATTCCTCTTGAGCTACGAGAAACGTGTCCCTATCATGGAACTGAGAATTCAAAACACTTTTAATAATGTATGTACTTCTAGGAGAAGTGATACATACGTCAGTTATTATAAGTAAAGTCTGATCGAATAGTGAATAAACAATTAATTTGTATAAACTTCTTCCGAGGAAAAGGATGAAACTGAAAATGGAGTTAGGGCTTGCAGCAATCTCTGAACGAAACCAAGACATCAACGTCTACCAAATACATCCCTTACACAATAAGCTTCCCCCTTAAGATCCGAATTCGATCAATCCCATCAAACAAACCCCGTTATCACGGTTTGCTATCCTTCCGACGTCGTAACGCGAGAAAATCAATCGACCCAGCTAGAGGTCCAGCCAGAAGGTGCAAGGATCCCTTCTAGCTGTCCCTTCTAGCTCGGTCCGGTCAAGTCCAGCGGGCCGAGGAGAGCCTTAGGTCAGAGGGTGGCTCTAAATATCGAAACTGGCCGGGCCGGGCTCGACGTCGGTGCCGCACCGACGATGAATGCCTAGTCAGCCCTTAATATCGTAAGAGCTGGATCCACGCAAACAACCTAACGCAGCCAACGGTTAAGCACTGGAAAGCCCCGACGTTACCGTTCGACCGCCGCTGGCCCTATTATCGCTAACTAATAAGGGGCCTAATTGAAACGTCGGCCTTTTGTTTCCAATACTCGAGCGCTGCTCGATTTTCCGACCGCGCGTTGTACACGCCGCTGTGCCGTGCCGCTGTTTGACCAGCCGGGACGAAGCGAAACAGACGGGGTGGAGACTGCGAACGAGAGCTGGGGTTCAAGTACGGATTGAAATTAATTTTCGAACTCGAATCGCCCGAATGAATTTTCGTCGAGCGTCTCGAATCCGCGAGGAATCGATGGAAAACGTTACCCGTCGCGTTTTGTTCGTTCCATGTGCTTCAGTCTGTTTCAAAATGTCAGTATAATTATACCCGGCTGTACGTTATATCGTTCGCAATAAGAATTGCTCCAGGTATGATGGATTTTATTAATGATTCAAAGTTTGTACTCGTAAGAGACATTTCTTTCGTCGTAATCCACCAACATACTTTTAATTCCAGTCCTCTAACCAGCGAGACACTCGCGATAAATTTATAAGCAGCGCAAACAGTACGTGTAATCGTTTCAATACCACTTGTGGTCTTCGTCACGTTGTCTATAACTATTTTTCCAACGTAGAGCGAAGATGGGAATATGTTGGATTAAAGTAATCACTGTCATCAACAGGGATCGGTTCCACCCTCGCGGCGATCTACGGTTACGTGACGAGGATCGCGACGCGACGCGTTGTTCTTGTACGAACGCCGCGCTACGTACGTATTTCGTATTCTACGCATACAACCGCGATGCCCACTTCGAACAGGATATTATTCCTGCTGGATGCAATCATATTAGTTTCCGAAGTTATTAGAATATTTATGCGAGGCCGACGTGGGGTTATGCATGATGCTCGGCCTCCTACACGGTTTCCCGTACGCGTCCCCACGAGTCGTGTCCGTCTACGTCGATTTCGTCGTGGAAATCTTTGCCTTCGTGTTCGGTTGAAATCCAGAGTCTACTTTCCTCGAAACTTTTTCTTATATTACTACTACGAACTTTATGCCTGCATGTTTCATATCCATTTCTCTCGGTAAATATTTAAAACAAATAATCGTAAATTGCAACAGCGCGGTTTAACTGGCTTGAAAATGAATTCTCCTCGCATTTATAGTTGCTTACTTATTAAATAACTTATCGTCGAACGCGATTTCTAGGCGACTCGCACATATTGAACGTGGATGCTACACCGGCGTCCGTGGATCACATATTTATTCTAACCGAGTACACGTGAAATTGGGCAAAGTTTCTGAACGTCGCTTGTGTTTCAGCGCAGGACTTCGGCCGGAGTTTCGATATACGCACTCTACACGAGTATCTCGTCGTTAGGACGGTAAACGACACCGTTCCGCGTGTGTGTGGACGCAGACACGTGTGCGAGTGTCGAAAGTTCCGTGCGGATTCAAACGCGGTACAAGGAGATAAAGAAAATAAAGTCGAACGTTTCGATAACGCGTACAAAAATGTAGAGGCAGTCGAAAAAACTCGAAAAAGAACGGCGAGAATCAAAAACTCACCTTGTTGGCGTGCGGTTGGACTGACCGTTCGTGAGAGACCCTGATACAAACTGTCCGTGAGGCCGCTCTGCCGGGTTTTGCTCAGATACAACTGAAACAGAGAAGAATTTCGTGTTACATTGTTACATTGTTACATTAATTGTATACAAAAAAAGTGATAAAGTAACAAACTGAGGTTCCACGTAACATTAAACGCGAGAAGATTGCGATGCTGAAAGCTCCGAGCTTACCCTCCCGGAAGCCTGCCACTCGAGTTTGGTAACGTCCTCGAATAAGGAAGTCCCGAGCCGTCCGATCGGCGAATTTCGGTATCCCGATCACGCGCTAAGGGTGAGCCATCCCCTTTAATATTAGGACCGACTCGGACCGACTCGTCTTGGTATAAAATAAAGGGCTGACATGCGAGCACGGGGTAGAGAATCGAGCCGAGGGGGTGGAACGCGAACGGAAAGGGAGGTGCGAGCCCGAGGATGAACGGAGACAGAGCGAAGCGAAGGAAGGGTGGCTTCACCACCATCGTGAGGGATGACTGAGCGAGTCGGTTAAACGGGCGTCTTCTTTCATAAATTTCGAGGGGCCGCCGCCGGATAAAGGTTTAGAATAAATCGTTCGGCCTGTTATCCACTCCGACGTCGGCAGATAACGCCAGACGAGCTACCCTGGATGCCTCGACAGCTTCTCCTTACGCGTTGCTCATTGTGCTCGCGTCGAATGGTCGCCGAGGATCAACTAATTTCTGGATCGTTTTTCATCGAGAAAATTAAGATAACGATGGTGGACAATTATCTTCTTTCCGAACATAGTTCGTGTATATCGTGAGAGACGAAATATTATTCGATTCTTCAATATTCCCTGGTGCGCAACTTAGAAAACGATCAGAGTTCGGGCTAGGCGTCACGTTTCCATTTCGCACGCCATAACTTACGGCGGGCTGGGCGCGAAAAATGCACGGAGCAATATGAAAGTGGAAGAAGCGGGCCTGGAACGCTCATAAATACGTCTTCGAAGATCGCACAAATCGCTCGTTCGAGGCCAATCCCCTTCGACGTCCCGCGTAAGAGATACGAGGAGCCGGGAACCCTTCTCTCTCGCGGGTAGACACTCGCAGGATACGTTAAGTATATACGTTACATCGACGTGTATATACGTTCGGCGTGTACGCGTCGATATAACCGTCCAGGCATATAGACACTGTACGCGATATAGAAAAGGGAGGAAGCAGCGAAGAGGGCAGGGAGGCCAAACCAGCTAGAAAGCCAGTCCAATTTCTCAAACCTGTCCAATCCGTGTCGTATGCAAAATCAATCACGCCGCCAGCAGCCTCCGAGCTCGGCACCCATCGCCGTCGAGTCCCCACGATTTTCAAATCCAACCGAAGCCACGCGGTAATCCAACTCCTGGGGGCGAAACTTCTCACCCATCCGCGATCGCCAGCGTCTTCTTCCTCCGTTCCGCTGCTCCTCTTCCTTTTTTTTTCCTCGACCCCGGTCCTAGTGCCCCCGCGGCAATCTTACAGCGGCGTGACGTTCCATCTGGGTGCATTGTCGAACTTAGATTTGTGTCGAAGCCAGGGGCCGAATCGGTCGAATCGAATTGGAAGACGATATTTGGAGTCCGTTGGTATTTTACCTTGCTTCACAGCGTGCGTTTGATCGAAATAAAATTCGTGCGAATAAACAACGGAAACGAAGGAACAGTTTTTCCTGATGAGATATCGAACTGTTGAAAGCTTAAAGAATGTAAAGAATGGTTCGTGAATTTCCACTTGCCATTCTCTACGTTCCTCCTGGAAAATCGTCACGTCACGACTTCGCGCTTCTCCGTGCATGTAGTTTGGGAGGCAACAAAGCCCAATCCCGGCACGCATAAATAGGTAGGCGAGACAAAGCTCGCGCTGAACCTGATGCAAATTCGCGCTTACGCGCAGCGGCAGAAGGTGAGAAAAGTTCACGGCCGGGGAAGCCATTAGAAACTTCCTTCACACTCGCTCGTTTCAAGCCTACACGATTGATATTCATCACCTTCGATCATTAGGGGACCTCAGGCCGAGCCACTAAGGCCGGCCGTCGAAAAACGAAAAAAAAAATGTGTAATTTGTCCTTTGGGGGCTGCCGACTTCAAAGTGTTTCCACGGGAGCATTCGTCCCACGATCGACGACCGGGTCCGACGTTCTACTTGTGCAACCCCTTTCTACTTGACGATGCATCAGACTTGCTGATTTTTCCGGGACGAAACGTCGCGCCGCGCCGACATCGACACGGACGCGTGGCTGCTGTCCGGCGCTCGGCCGCGGCAACGTCAAGGGTGTGTGTTGGGAACTCGAAGACGAACGGAGGGACGCCGGCTACCGCCATGGGGTGCGAAAAGTTTAGCATACGCATTTTGTACATTGAAATCCCGACACGCTCGTCCAACTTTAAATTGAAACCCGGCTGCCGCCATCCCGGCACGCCACGGCGCCGTCGATAGCCCGTCGCCGTGGACGTCGTGATCGTACACGCGGTTCCCGATTGCGACGCTTAGAACGACGTGCAGAGGAAACGAGATTCCGAAATCGACTGAGATACGCTCTATTCTTATCGATTCTCTATCGTCAGGCATAGTCACATAAAAAAAGTTTTGTCACTCGATTATTCGTTTAATCGTAACGAGCGCGAATTATTTCGTGTGTATTTCATTTATCATATTTTGAAGACAGAAATTAGATAAAATATGAAGAGTAGAAAATATTGCATCCTCAATTTGTATAATTGTAATCGGCTGAATCCCGTTGCGAAATTTTTTGCCATAATGTTCACTACACAGAGGAACGATTAATCGTGACACTTTTTTCCAACAGCTCCACTCTCGCTTTCCGATAATCCAATTTATAAGCAGCTTCCTGCGCAGCTAAGCCCGGTCCTTATGAGAGGTGACCATAATGAGTCCGGGCATTTTTAATTATATAATACTAATCACGGCAACCCTCTTACGCAGGCAAATCTCATCTGGTCCCTTCCCCGTCCGCTGCCAGCCTATCGTTCCTCTTTCCCGACTCTTCCCTCTCTCTTTCTCGTCGGCCGCGAATCGTCTCTCTTTTAGACTTCGAATTGTAATTAACATTTGGTTCTCCCATTAGTGTAATTAAAGTGCCATTCCATAATCTAGGAGGCCGTGAGAGAGAAGAGGGGTACCTTATCTTTCAGACTTCAGCCTCGGCTGCGGGGGTCGTTTTAACCCCGCCGGCCGTCCCCAGCCCCTTTTCACAGGAGCACGCCAACGCCGATGCCTGTAGCTTCCTTCGGCGATAACTCCTTTCTGGAAGAGAACTCTCCCTCTCCATTCGAGGAAGGGCAGCGGGGGGGAATCGTGTAATCGGGGCCTGGCAGGAAAAGAAAAACGCCGATTAAAACGTTTGGAAACCCGATCCCAAAGGCGTTCTTCAGCTGCTGGGCTCATCTGGGAAAACAGAAACGCACAGGCATCGAATGCCTTCTATCGAATAGAAGATCAAGTAAAGCGAGCCAGTGAGAGGAGTGAAGTCGAGAACTAAGAGAGGGTGAAAACTTAATCTTCGTTCCCCACTACTTTATTGACAGTTAATCTTGTTTTAAAACAGGCCACGAATTTACATAATCGTTATTTTAAACAAATACAGCTGTCTGTATTGTATTATCAATGCATCTATTTTACAAAGAAATCTTTAAAAAAATGACAAGCAACATCCGCTGCAACGGCGTTCCGGACAGAATCAAAGCAGATAAAAGTCGCGTGCCGGAAGGGAGAAAGGCGGCGATGCCGGCGAGGGAGTCCCCGGTAAAATAAAGAAAAGCAGAGAGATAAGGAGCCCGGCCGCGTTGACATTTTCCGGTGGTTGAGTTAATAATGCGCGCGGTACACAGACCACCGAGTCAGGGGTGGCGGGATCCGCAAAGTGGTGCCATAAAGAGGCGCGGATGTGTTTATTCGGGAATTTGCCTTTTTTTTTCCTTCCTCTATCAAGCTAAACCGCGCCACCGCCACGAGATTTTATCTTATTTTCGGCGACGATCCCGAAGGATTTATGCCCTCTCGGTCGTGGCTCGAGGAAGGAAGACGCCGAGAGACAAGGAGAACGCGGAGTTGCCGCCAGTAACGAGAACGGGAAAGAAAGGGTGGCCAGCGAGGAGGAGGAAGAGTTGAAGGAAAAAGCGGAAGAATCACGATGCAATTATTTTCGTTCCAGCTCGTGAACGGATTTTAAGCTCGCCCGGCCCCGGAGCCAGTCGACCGAGGAGGAGGACCGGGGACCGCAGCGCAGGAAGGCTGAAGGCCAGAAAGAAGGATTAACCTCGTCAAGTGGGAGAGTCCGTGACAAAGACGTTAAAGTGGTCGGAGGGGATGGGAGATATATATCGGCCGAAATCTGTGGGGGGTGAACGTTCACATCGTTCGACCGTCCTGGGACGTCGAGACACTAATGGCATTTTTATTATTTCTCCACGGAGACCCTCGGCCCCGATAATGGGCCGACTGTATGGTCCATTGAACGCGTGACAGCCTTGACAGCTTCTCACCTTTTCTTCGTTTTGTGTACTCGGCGAGATCGATGCTCGAAGGGCGCATCGCGCGCGACGATACCCGGCATCGGGAAACAACGCGATTAAATTGGAATGAGCACTGGTTAGCTGAAGGTACTGAGAAATTTAAGACGTTCGGGAATTCGTTCGTCTATCGAAGCTAAAATATGCACGAAAGTTAGAGAAATGTCAGTGCTTAATAGAAGTAGACAAAATCGCCGTGAAGGGAGTCGAGGATTTTCGAAATATCTAACACGGCACGATCACAAATCATACATAGCTTGGCGCGGCGCAGGACCTATTGCTAAGCAACGTGTACCCAGCAGTTGGGATTTGATGAATGAGCCTCGTATAAAGCTAAAGTATGGTAAAAGCCGCTACGGCTACTACCGTAATATTCTACCCCGGGTGCTTTTGGAATCGCTAATGACTAATAGCACCGAAAGGAATCCCTTGCCGATGGATGATGCGTTCACGCATCGACGATTTACGAGCTTCAAGCCGTTTCTAAACTTTTAACATTCAATCAAATAGTGTTTAAATCCCTCTTGT